ATCTAAGTCAACATATATATTTGATAGACACAATTACTACTTTTGAATAGTACAACTTTTACAACGAATAATTTCCTAATCCTTGTTGAACAACATGTCCATCGATCGGTAGACAGTCAACTAATCATATTTTCTCTAAACAATTAGAGAATAGTGATGTTTGGCTTCTTTTATTTTTCATTTAGCATTCATATTTTTTATTCAAACAAAATTAATTGTGATGAATATTTTTATTTGGTTAAAGCAGATTTCTTCTGTTGCCTTAATGAAGAAGTATTCGTCTAAAACTGTCATCAACGACACATGAGAAACATGTCATATGTACATCTTCATTCATTTCCAATATTATCATTCTGATCTTGGATATGTATACAAAGATGATTTAAACATTGACTGATCAATAATATTTTTTATCAATTATTAATCCAGCAAATATCACTTCGTCTTCTCGGAAGATATAAAATCTTGCTGAATTCATTCTTTCATATGGTTTTATTTCTAATCGATTCAATCAATTAAAATCACTTTCCTTCTATTCTATCCATTCGGGTTACCATAGTTCGGTCGAAAATGAAAATATCGAAGCAAAAAAATGTCGGCACACTATGCAAGTGTGGGTGCACGGCTTCAATTGACCCATCTCCGCCAGTGGCGTAGCCAGGAATTTTTGAACTATGGGCCGTTTACCCGCTAAATTATTTTGAGCATTGGGCAATAATGGGCAATTCAAAATCAATTGGGCTACTACTTTTTTCAAAAGCTTTCTTGTCATACAATAGTTGATGTTTGGCGAAAAGAGATTTTTTTACTCTCAACTAAGAGAAACTCCATCACTTTTGCTGTTCTTATCTGTAAATGGAGCTTGCGATTTTCGCATAATCGGATATTTAACTTCGAAAAAAGTATAAAAAGATAGAATTGTAACTAATGACAGTAAGTATAGTAATTCCGTTCCGGTAGGAATCTTTTATCAGGCGGTATAGAGTTTTTCGGATTTGTATATTTTTTTCACAAAATGGGCATAAATATATTTTTTCATATTTTTAGTACTTTTTGTTGATGTAAAGGCTGTGTATGTAAAAAAGAAAGGAACAGGCCGCTTAAATCAGTCAGAACTCATCACGAGATTCTTGGTATATTTTTGTAACCTTTATTTTTTTTTTACATGAGCCGATACTATTATAAGAAACCTGTGTAGCTGTTGGAAGTTGTAGTTTATTACAGATTTATTTGTACTTCTCTTATTATTTTTAGAACGTATCTCCTAAAAACTTGAAATACAATAAAAGAAATGCGATGCGAAAGTAGATTGCAGATCCTGTTAATGACTGATATTCGTGTCTGACTAGTAGTTAACGAATATGGAAAGTCAATAGAATTTCTAGTGTTATGGATTTTTAAGTTCACGTATAGACGTTGATTAAAATGAAAATGATGGAAACGCATAGTAAAAACTACTATAAGATAACTGTAACCCTATCATTGTATCGATTGGAAAACGGATATGGCTGGTAAAGAAGTAGACATCTCTGTTATATTGTCAAAGATATGAAAAATGATGCATGTTAGCACCCATTTTGGTCCAATTCATTTGAATTTTCTCAGCGTTATCCATAAAGAAAATAACACTACGAGTAAAATTCTGTATTTGTTCACACACTGAATCAGTTTCTTTTTAATAACAAAATCTATTGAGTTCATGACAGTTTTAATTTTTAAGTTACAGGAGTTATGTCACCAGTTATCCTATCAAAGTATTTTAGTTGAACTATTTCATTACTATCATATACATTCAATATAATTTCATAAATATTATAGGAGCTAATTTGATAAAATAAAGTTATTTCGATTGTGAACATGCATGTATATCAGATGTTTTGGTATTGGGCAATAACTATCTTCTCAGAAAACTATTGGGCAATAAATTTTCAATTATTGGGCAATTGCCCAATGGCCACCCCCCTGGCTACGCCATTGATCTCCGCACTCTTTCCTTAGCTATTGTAATATTATACTGTTTCATCAAGAAATTTGCCCTCAAAAATGATTCCATGTTTTTTTTTGTGGGGAATATAAGGTCGACATATTTGCTTCAAATACATAAAGATCTATACAATTGAAGAAGAAGAAAAAATTCGTGAAGAATATTGACATGATAAAAAAATTAAATGTTTCATTCTTAAGTCAATAAATGCATGTGTTCTACTACGAATCATTTGTCTTCGACTTGTAACCACTCTTGACCATTTTTATCAAGACAAGATGATTGCGACGATTACAAAATTATTCTAGAGAAGATTAAGATAAATCTCAGATTCAATTCGGAAGTGAGTGCTTTATGGTTTCTTCTTACCCCACATCCCACCCGCTCGTACTTATATCCTCATTCATTACTTATTGGTATTCAGAAAGATTTCACCTGATTCTTACTTTATTGTAGGCAAGAAAGATTCTATTTGTAGGTTTTTATTACATCTTCTATTAATATCAATTTGTCATACTTGTTAGTTGTAGTAAAATAATAAAATTTTACTTTCAATGAGAACTTGTCTGAGATTGCAAGTTCATACCAAAGAACAAAACATATTTTATCAAGCTTCTTTGCAAAGCATTCAGACGAAAAAATCTGTTTTCCATTGTAAACATCTAGTGTGATCTCAAACATATTGAAAAGAACTTCTATTTATTGTAAAGAAAAAAGAAACGAAATCAATTGTGTTTTCATATGAGTGTGTACTCAAATTCATCTAAACACAATTGATGAAAATGATTAACAAATTAGAGAGAATATCTAAATTCATACAATAAATAAATAAATCTTTAAATTTATACATTCTCAATGTCATTTTTATTGTAGTATGTTTTTTGTGTGAACAAATATATAAACGTCAATAAATACATAATTATAAATCTTGTAATGTAGCCACACGTCTTAAAGCTGTACCTGATCGTGCTTTTTGTATTGTTGAATATTTATTATCACCTATTGCTAAATTTTCTTCATAAGCTTTATCTAATGGTGTTTGTTGATCTTCAATTTTCTTTGATTGAATTACATTTTTTAAATCTTGTAATTGTAATGCTAATTGTGCTTGTTTATCAATAAAATGAGTTCTAAACATAGATCAATATTATTATTTTATGAAAAGACTTTTTATTAGTTTTTTTTTTTTCGTTTAACCTTTCATCTGTTGAATTTGATTCTTGAACTTTTGTTATCGGTCGATACTATAAGAAACAAAAAATAGAAAAATGAATTTAATAATATAATAAATTTTACAGGTGGTGGAGATACAGTTGTTGTTCGTGAAGATGATTGAACGAGATTATGTTGAGTATGTATCGGTGCATTTGAAATAGCACACGATTGATTGAGTTGAGTAATAGCCAAAAGTTTTTCACGTGCAGCTGCTTCAGCTACACGCCATTTAGCAACTTCTAATTTCAATTCATCAGATTCTTTACGACTATGAAAGGAAAAAAATAAAATAAAAATAATTTCAATTTTATCATATCTAAAGAAAAATCTAAAACAAAAATAACAAGATTCTGTTTGATTAGTTCCCATATCCTCTAGACTAACCGCTGTTCAATAATTGATGAAAGAAGATAAAATTCATGACAACGACATGAATAATAAGAATTACTTTTGTTTTTAAATATAGAATAAAAAAATTTCATAGAAATAAAATCTTACTTTTTAATTGCATCGTTGACTAATGTTGAAATTACTTGTTCACATTCATGAATTTGTCGAGCATAAAGTCGTTTTTCTTCTTCATTCTTTAGAACAAAAAAAAAAAAAGATTCATGTTTTCCTTGTGTTCAATATATATTAGAAATAAAAAAAAGAAACACTCTTAGCGCAATTCCATGAAACCCGATCGATCTACATATATTGTACACCAAAAGATTCTACGACATATTCTTCAATTCGGGATTTCTAACATAATGATATGCTTGCGATAAAATATGTCATTCATAATATGTTATAGGGATGTGCAGGATAGGATAAAATAAGGTAATGATTAAAAAATTTGTCTCAGTCAGATTATACAGTACGTAAAAAAACTCATCCTACACATGTCTAATATGTTACAATGAGTTTGAAAACGAAACCAAAGATAGATGTCTTAAATTCAATCCGCTTCCATCATAATCTAAATCGAAGGATTTAGCTCTGTGACTAAGTCTTTAATGTTTATGAGATGGTTTCAAATTTCTATTATCATATTTTAAGATTCGTTTAAAATGATGTTTTCATAAAGACTTAATTTAACTTACTCGACTTATTTCATATTTACATCGTTCAAGTTGTGTTTCAATTTCAAGTGCTTTTGCTGCTTGTAATCGAGCTTCTTCACTATTTACATGTGCTTTACGTGCTAATAATTCAGTTGCTTCTTGATATTTAACCTATAATAACAATAGAATAATTCTGTATAAAAAAAAAAAAATCAAATAACAAACCAATGTTTCGTGAACTTCTTTCATTTGTTGTTGATAATCAGTAAGTTTACATTCTATTTCATCACGTTGTTTTTCTGCTTGTAATCTTAATTTACGTTCTTGTATAAATAATCGCATTTTTTCCTCAAAAAAAAAAAAATATTCATAAACAAATTTGTTAAAGAAAAAAAAGTATTTCAACAAAATTTACTTTTTGTTGTTGTTCTTCAAAATATTTCATTTGTTGTATTTCAATTGATTGTTCTTGTCGACGTTTCATATATAAGTCATGGTTACCTGTTGCTAAATCAAGTATCTAAACAATTTATTTATTTTTTCTTAATTTTTGTTTCAAAATAAAAAAAAAAAAATATTAATTCAATATATTATACCTCTTTGCTTACAGATGATTTTGCAGCATAGAATGCAAATGTTGCATGTTTATCACTAGTTAGATTTAATACAATCTAATGTAAGATGAAAAGATAATTCTTAAATCAATAAAATTTTCTTGTTTTTGTTCTTTTACTTTTTTATCATGAGCTGTAACAGATTTAACATCACACCATGAGAAGAAAACTTCTGGTCTCAGTTTATTTTTCTTATAAAACCGAATTCCTAATGAATCAATTCCAAGCCAAAGTTCAGCGGCAATAAGTGCTTGATCTGACTGTTTTTGTTGCTGGTTAATTGATTTGATTTGTTGTTGTGATGAAGATTTATTTGTACCTTGCATTTTTGATATTTCAAAAAATGATAAACCAAACATATCTAAATCTTGTGCATGTTTTAAATAAGATATTTCAGCTTCTTCTCGTAATAGTAATGCATGTGTACGCCATAAAGCAATTATACGATCAAACCAATCTGAACGAGATAATTCTATTTTTTGAAAACATGTTAATGGTAATAATGCTTCATTTTCTAAATTTAATGATTCAGATAATGATTCAATTTGATCATAATCACCAAACTATAATAAATTTTAAGAATTTTCAATGTTTAGTTTTATTCCTATATTAGTCTAATCTATTATTAATCATTTTTATAAAATAATAATGTATTTTAATTTTTCGTAATATTTACCTTTGCTTGAAGAGAAAGTGAAGCAAGATGTGCAGCAGTATCTGGTGGACAATAAATATCCATATTAAGAATATCATGTTTAACTTGTAAATAAAAAAGATGTCGTGTAATATCTTGTATAATTTCATGTGTAATATCTTCGGGATAAAATTTGACAACAAAATAAAGTTCTATGATACCTTTCAAAGGTTGTTGACCAACATTAATTATAGGAGACGAAAGATTTAATACTGATGAAGATGTTGGTGGTGAACGTAAAAGATGAGGATTAAAACAATCTGTTAGATTAGGTGAATCCGGTGTTTTAAATAAAGTTGAATTCGATGAGATTTCTATTGGTTGTGAAATAATCTAAAGACTTTATCATTTTAATATGTATACTTTTTTTATGATTTAGATAACATTACTGTATGATTCAATTGAAGCCAATTCCATTCATTTGAAGTTTTATCGAAATATTTAAGACCAAAATACCAATATTCACGAAGACCAATTGTTTGACAAACAAGAGAAAATATTGTATTACCTTTTGTTGTTGCCTATACAAATTGAAATTTTTAAATATAATTAATCACAAATTGATTAAACAAAACAAACAAAAAAAAAAATATTTACTTCAATAGTAAAATGTAATTCAGCATCCAGAGTGAAGATTTTACATAGATATTCATGTGATTTTTTCTTACTACTACTAAAGACAGGCATTAGAAGAAATGAAAATATCACTGTACTACTTGTATTATATCTAGAAGAAAGACAACATACTTTTACTAAGAAATATTTATTGCATATTTCTTAAGTGTACTCATCGTCATATCTTGAAATAAATTCTGCTTTTTTTTTTTTTTTGCTTTTCTTATTACCTGAATAAAAAATAATCTTTCATCTTTTGACTGTCTATGAAAGATCCATTAAGGCACAACTTTCTTGTACTTAGCTTTTTGCCTATATTTATATGTCGTTTTTTATTTTCATTAACGTTTTCGAACCATAACAATCCGCGTGTGTGTGACATTATCGACGAGGAATAAATATGAAGAAGAACAGAACCAATCGTTCTCACTTTTTTTTTTTTTTTTTTTATTTCGTTTATTTTTTCTGCGACGTAAGAAACCACATGCCAAGCATACCTTTGTCTACTTTTTCTTTTCTTTTTCTCTTTTTTTCTTTTTATGTCTCTCATGTCAATGTGTAGACTTGCCACACAGTAATGTTGATTCGTTTGCAACGAATATATGACTACATTACTTTTTGTTATTATTACTAATTTCATTAGTATTTCTTCGTTCAATACTATGTAAAAATGAGTCATGAAAACGTATGATGTGTCATGAGTAGCATAACTTATGAGAAGCATGTGAGGCATAACACGTCCATTGCTTTTAAAAGTTGTCTATGCAACCGCTCTTTTTCCAGGGCTCAACCAATCTACTTTCAGCGTTGAATTACGTCTCTGAATGTCATTAAAATAAATGAATACAAAAGACTATTGATATGATTTATATTACTTAGACAAAAAAAAAAAAATTATGCAGAACGATCACTATGTACACATAGTGTTGAATACATATGATAAAAATTATTTGACTATGCATCATTATTAGACAGTTTACGGAGATTTATTTTAATTTAAGTATTTTAAAAAGAACAAGTTCTGTCCATACAGACAAGAAGAAATAAGTAGCATAACTTTATAAATTCATCAAATATTTATGTCTATTTTAATCTTTGTTATAATCAGTTGTAATCTAATTTAAACGAGCTTAATTTTGAACCATTGATCAAACGCATGATGATTGTCTATATGTGAAGATCGTATTGAAATCATTGAAAATCTAAGTCTATTGATATTGATTTAAAATATAAAATGATCTATGATTAAGAATATTTGAGCAATGTCATCAATATAGGAAAGTAACATTTCTACTAGTAGATATATCAATCAGAAGTAAAATGTACAGAACATTTATTAGTTTCAATATATACGATATTTTATATTTCGCTCAGAATCTAGGTCGAAAAAGTACTGTCATAAACGACTATCATACACAATTGTATTTTGTCGTACGTTAGTCGTGAGTCGAGTTGCAATTATCGAACACGTTGATTTTTTCGTTTTGAATTCTGCTTTTGTTTTAAATTAGACTAAATCAAAAAACATATTCAGGAGTATTTTTTTGTTTACATCGAGCAGATTTCAAAAAAAAAAAAGAAATAAAATTTCGTGTTTTGGGCGGAGAAAAGTCTTTCCCTGTTGAATCAGAAGAATTTGTAAATACGATAGCGCATGACGAGATAGGAGTCATAATGCTCGTCCTGAAAAAGTACTCAGTACACTTTGTTTTCCAGTTTGATTGTATATGATCTTTTTTTTTCGACAAAATATTAAATTTAATTTATTCGTTTTTTTTTTCGAAAATATTTACTTTTTCCTTTATCTTGCAACTTCCTTTTGATTATATAAAGGCAAAAAGAAGAACAAAGGTATTTTTCGCTTATCGTCTTTTTTTGGTCGTCGATAGTTATTTTTGTCAAATGAGAAAAAAAAAACTATTGGTTTTTACCTTTTTTCTTTCATACATTCTTTATAAAACTTCGCCATTGTACATTTTTATCTTCTTACGAAAAAGAAAAACAGGTGAAGACGTACATTCTACTATTATAAACAAAGTCTAGCAGTAAGACATTTTCTTTTTGTTTTGAGTTTCTATTAGAAACGCTAACATAAACTGATGAAAATGTTTCAATATAAAAATAAGTAGATCAGAATTTTCTACCACTCTACTTATAGTAATATTTTCTTGTTTTGACTTTTTTTCTTTCTTTTTTGTTTTTCTTTGAAATTCAAAAATTCAATGTTTGTTGGTTGCTAGAAAAATCATTAAAGCATTGAATATTTGATTCGTTAGACAATACAAAATTTAATTGCAATTTTATTGACTACACTTCAATTGCTTATTAGCATAATACATTTGAAAAAAAACAAAACAGAGTGGAATTAATAGAAAGAAAGCAAATCATACATGTAACGATGAGATACACAAGATAAGTCTGCCCTCTGTCGATCAAATAGTATCCAAAATACATTAGATTTCTAATAATTCATCAGAAGTTAATCCATTTGGAGTCGAAATCAGATAAAAGAATGCAAAAAAAGAAGCTTGTATTATTACCATAGCTCAGTTAAGCAGCAAAATAGATAACAGATTCAGAATGAACATCAAAAAAATATGCCAGATCATTTTTGCTTTATAAAAATTTGTTTTCTACGAAAAATCGAATACTGAGCAATTAGAGACAAAATTTTAGAAATAGGCATCTGAAATAGACCATAGATGTATTTTCTACCGGAGACAATTTTTACTAAAATTTTCATTTTCTTAACAATAAAACAAAGTAAATAAGTACTTTGTAGCTCACGATCGGGTGATTTCTATCAAACAAAACTTATGTAGCATAAGATATAGTATATCGGACAGGAATTTTTTTTAACCTTATTTGCTCTAAATCTAATCAAATAACATTTTTTCTACTCAGTCTTTGATGCTATTATATTATTAAAAAAGTTTTCACAATAAGCCTTGTCGAAATTCGATATTTTCTATAGAGAAAGCAAATTGTAATGCTTTAATTCTTTTTTTGAACAGTGAAATATGTTTATGTATTAACGATTAGAAATAATTAGTTGTATTTGTTAATTATATTGATATGAATCTAATGTTGCTTGTTTGATCATAATTCCATTTTTGAGTTCATTGATTTTTCTTAATTCAACAGATCTTTGATAAATATGATAGTCAATGGAATTCAAGAAAATGTCAGTCTTCTATTGACAAATTGTTGAAGCTCATTTTTCATTACTAATTAGCATGAAGAAAGACGATGATTGGTAATGTAGGTTTATGTATTGCAACTTGTTTTTCGAGATTATTATATACATTGAAAACATATTAATAAACTTGAATAAAATCAGTTGATTCTTGAAATTTTATTATTTTTCAAATTATCTTTTACTCTAAAATATATAAAATTTCAAAGACAATTTTTTTTTTTTCGTATAATTCAAAAAAATAAAAATTAAATTCAATGATAACGAGTAATCCGATCGGAACTACTTCAACAAATTACCTTCAATGTATACTTTAACATGAACAACTATTGATCTTTCTCACACATTTTCAAGCTATCCCATTTCCTTATTTTATAACACAAAATGAGAATAATGTCGGCAATTGTTGAATATATTTAAAACAAAAATAATCATACATAAATATATATATATATATATAACTTCTATAAAAATAAGACAGCGGAACCGGAACAGACATCAATTCAAAGAGATCGTGTGCGGGCAAGCATGAACAAATCTATCGTCGGGCATATTTTTATTGAATATATACCGTATATTGACACCTAAAGAGAGATGATACTCTTTTTCTTTTTCTCTTTCACTTGATTGTGAACAACACAAAAAAAAAAGTCACATAGAGATGCCAAATTTTGTTTGACTTATACGCGCGAGAGATCACCACCATATGTCCAAAGAAGAAGAAGACGACAAGCGACACAGTGATTGAGATGCAAATATAATATGGATGCGCTTGTCTCAATGTATATATATATCCGCACCATAGGGACGCTGTACATCAAGAAGTAACATATTCATTATAGACTCAACGCAAGACAATGCTCACAAGAGAAAAAGAAAACGAGAGAGAGAGAGGAAGAGAGAGTCAATCCAGCTGATACGACCATCTGGTCTCCCTTTTGATTAGCTTTACTCGTTCTAAATCCCTTTCTTCTCTGCCATCAGATCAGAGAAAAGCAAAAAAAAAAAAAAGTAATCCGCTATAGTTGAATCCTTCCTTCATTCATTTTTAATGATCTGTTGACTTTCTTTTTCTTGTCACTTGTCTACCAAGATGATTCAGGTAAGTATCAAAAAAATTGATAATTTTGTGTTATTTTTTTGTTTATGACAGTATCACACAAAATATATATAGAGAAAAAAAAAAGAAGAAGGAGAAACACTGTGTAAAGTGTATAACAAGTGAAAAAAAACTCGAAAGAAAAAAAAAAAGAAAAAGGATTATTACAAATGTGTTGGATAATGATATTCATAATAGTCTCCTGTTGTTCCTGTCGGTGTCGATGATGGACTTGGACTATTGGTATGATGATGATGATTATTTGATGCTGATGCTGTACCATTTCCTAATGGTGGTGTAACACGTTTTTCTTTTTGTCGTCGATTACAAAACCATACACGTACAACTTCTTTTTCAAGTTGTAATTGATCAGCTAATTGTGCTATATCTTGTGCAGCTGGCTTAGGATTACGTGAAAATTGTAATTCAAGTGCTTGTTTTATACTAACTTCAATAGATGTACGTTTTTTACGTTTACGTCCACTAGCAGCTATTTTTTCCATTGAATTTGTTGTACCTGTTTGAGATTCAGAATCTTCTAACCATTTAGCTAATAATGGACGTAATTTACACATATTTTTAAAACTTAATTGTAATGCTTCAAAACGACATATTGTTGTTTGACTAAATACATTACCATAAAGATTTCCAAGTGCAAGACCAACATCAGCTTGTGTATAACCAAGTTTAATACGACGTTGTTTAAATTGTTTTGAAAAACGATTTAAATCATTATTATCAATATTTATTTGATGTTCATCATCATCATTATTCATTGTTTGATTATTATTATTATTATTATTAGGTGTTTGAATTAAATTTAAATCATTATCATCTAAAGATGATGATGTTGGTGGTGGTGGTGGTGGTATTTGAAAATGATGTTCATGATCATTTGATGATGATCCATATGTTGGTATAAATTGATGATTTGTTAAATATGGTTGATGATGATGATGATAATTTGATGATGCATAATAATTTGATGAATTTGATGTCCAATAATCTTCAATAGATAATGTATGTTGTTTATGTGGATGATGTTGCATTATAACTGGCCATGCTGTACTATTTATTGGACTTGTTGGTGATGGTGAAATACTTTTACGTCCATTTATATTTGTTGTACTGTTACTTGTTGTAAATAAATAATTATTTGGTGGTTTAATATCATTTTGTTGTAAAATTAAATCATTTGATGAATCTGAAGATGTTGAATAAAAAAATGGATTTGTTGATGATGATGTATCAAGTTGTTGTTGTTGTTGTTGTTGTTGTTGTTGTTGTTGTTGATGAAATGGATGTATATGATGATGTGTATGTACATGATGATGATGAAGTGCATAAGCTGTTGCTGCAGCAATAGTTGATGGTGATGTTGACATGATTGAAAAGAATAAAAATCATTAACAAAAAAATACCTAAAACAAAGAAATTAATTATTAATGTATGTTTTATTTATTTTTTTTTTTTCGCTTTTATAAATGTATTTTATTACTCACCATTATTTTTCTATCAATTGAATTAATATATACGAAATAATCAAATTTCAATTATTATAAACTGAGGAAAAAAAAAAGAAATCGGCTACTGGAAATATTACGGTAGTGCTTGAATAAAAAGAAAAAAGAAAATACAACACTGCTGAGAATCGTAGTGTTTATTTGAATATCAATATGAGAATAGGGATAGCTGTCGGTACTCGTGCTAGTTTTGAATGCAAATGAAATTCAGATTTGCCGCCGTCCGATGCTTCTTCTGTCAAGAAGTTGCTCTCTTTCTCTCTCTCTCTCTCTTCGTATGCCTAGTCGATGACAAGATAGCTTCTCTTTATTTGTGTATGTATGCATGCAACAAGTGCATCGAACGCGCGAGAGAGTGAGAGAGCAAGAAAGAAGAGAAAAACGGGTTGGTTGGTTGAAGGAGTAGGAACTTGAATTTTTTTGATTGGATAGTATGACCTTTAGGGAGAGGAAAAAAAGAATGATCGGATTCCTTCTTTTTTTTTTTTTGCTTTTTTTTGTGATCGTTGCCATTGCGTGATTGATGGATCTAATCGTATGTGTGTACACAAGACATTTCCTATGTCACATATAGGAAAAAAAAAAAGAAGAAGAAGAAATGATAGTCAAAGAAACAAACAAACATATAGCAGATGGTCCTATCAGTTGGAGATCGACCATTTGTAATTAGACAAGTCTAGAAATACAACTCGAAAATTAAATTAGCTAGTTGTTTTTTTTTCTGCCTAAATAGCCAAGATCAGAGATACGGGAAATTAGGCTAATCGAGTTGTTCTTTGTCATTGTTCATTGTATTGGATACAGTTAGTAAAAAAAAAAACAAAAAAAAAAAAAAGAGAAAAAAAATTGATGATCGATCGAGTCTAATTACAAGGCTTCTCTTATCGAAAGAAAAGGAGCTAAAACTAATCCTATCGCACCTTGACAAATACACACACGACCTTTCAACACCTATATTTCGTTTATAATGATGGATTTGGACTTTTCGTTTTTCTTTTTTTTTTTGTTACTCTTTTCAACCTACAGATATATATATATATATATATGTATATTGTTTGACTGGTTTCGGTTTTGTTCTTTTCTTGTTTGAGTTTCTTTCTTTTTTCTCCCTAGATACCTTGAAAAAAGAAAAGCATCACGCATACACACTCAAATAATCAACATTTGGCACTTGCCCACCTTAAAACAAATAGGCAAAAAAAAAAAAGAGACATAACAATACACAAACATATATGCACGTGCTAAGTCACAAGAGAATGAAATTTTCAATTCAATAATAAGCAAATAAAACTCGAATTTTTCTTTCTTTTTTTTTGTGTTAAATGCGTGGTCACATTATTATCTCTAGTCATTTTCTCTTTGCATATATGCAAATATTCTCTCTTCCTGTTAGATTCTTGTTCGAAGACAAAAACAGAAAAAAGAAAATATCAACAACAAGATTCTTTCTACAATACATATTTTAGTAGTATATCGATATCATTTGATCATTTTATTTTCTAATTTTCAAAAAGTAAAACTAAAAAAAACGAAGAATTGAGCGGCATCGATCATATTTCTGTTAGATCTATTCAATATACTACTCTTTATGACTCACACATCTTGTTGACATTTCTAGAAATTTAGTGAAGCGAACTTTAATCGAATTAGAAATCTATACTGATGAATGGATACATAAACATATATGAAAGAAGAAAAAAACCTATATTCAATGTCAACAATAAATGATTTTAATTATTTTTCTATGAAATATTATGATTGGTTCTTTTCTTATTCGTCTAAAAGAGACAGAAAAAAAAAAGAAATGAAATAGACTGTGTACGTCAATAAGTACCGATCTGATTTCGTTTACGTCTTGAGTTGAAAAAAAAAAAAAAAAGATGACAGTAAGATGAAGAGTAAAGTCAAGCATATGAATTGAATTCATCTATTCATAAATATGCACAAAATGAACAAAAGAATAACAAGACAAGACTATTAATCATTTGTACAGTGAAGCAGATGAGTCCAATCAAGAGACCGGATGAAAATGGGTGGAGTCAACAGATAAAGACGTGACATACATCTATAAATGATTTTATCAAGTCGATGAGAAGTTTTCTTTTTCTTCTTCTTCTTCTTTTTCTAATTAGTTGATTGAAACAAGTGAATAAGATTAATTTTAGCTTATTGGTTTTTATGAATCCAAAATTCATTACTTGACGTTGAATTTCTTTAAGTTAAATTATAGAAAAAGATATATTTACTTGACGAATTTAAAAAAAAAGAAAGAAAGAAAATATTGTGAACATCAAAGATACAAAAAAAAGAACATCATTCAATTCAATTATTTTATTCACTTTTTTTCCTTCTGTCTAATCTTATTAACCAATAATGACAGGCAATTGACGATACTCGAACTCTATTTTTTTTTCAAATGTTCCATCCGCTTTTATATGATATGATGGCTATTAAACAAAGATAGATCAATTTCAAGTGATGGTTTTATTTTTTTTTTTGCTTCATGCACGCACGACTTGTTCCGCCGTTTATATATGTGTGCATGTTCGTTCGTATGAGTATATGTCAGTAAACTCTAACTACTAAAACAAGTGGCAAATGGTTGTCAATACTAATGGAACGCGACCCATTTACTAGTTAGTCGTTTATGACTCGTGTCAAATTACTCACTTCGAACTGTCATCAACATTATTGCAATCAATAGAGGACGCCAAATGACGTTCAGCCAATATATTTGAATATGATAGAACATGTTGTAGATGTCGTTCTAGAATGAATTTTTGACGTCAACGAAAAAAAAAAAGAAAAGAAATATTGAAATAATTTGCATTCAAATGGCTATTAAACAGAGTATTACTTCGTGAATTTTCGTGGTATTGTGTCATAATCCGTCAGCGCATTTTTTCGGCTGGTTAACAGTCATCGGTTCTCGTCGTTTGTGATGTAAAAATACCTAATAATGACAATAGGTTTCTTTGCAAGGATTTGACAAGAGGAATGCAAATTTTGAAAGTTAATATAAAGCATAAAAAGAAATAATATATGATTGTTTCAATGCGAAAGAAGAATTCTATAGTTCCGGAGATTTAGTATTTACATTTAAAAGTTTCTATTTATGTATTTTTTTTTATTATCATCATTTTTCTCTTGCCGACTATATGATTTGCAAAACATCATAAATTAATGCGAGTATTCCTAATATTAAGCAAATTAAATACAAGTTTTAAGTGAATGTGAAAGTCTAAAAAGAATATTTTTCTACACATCCGAAAAGTCGAATTGCGACGTTATTTATTTCTTCAAAAAAAGTATTTCCAAAAGCTTCTTAAAATCTTCTTCCTTCCGTTATACTTTCCGATTACAATAAAATACAGAATGATACTTAAGGAAAAGAAAAAAAAAAAAACATTTCCGTATTAGAAAATAGTCTCGTTTACTTCCGGTCAGAACATGTTTTTTTTTTTTTATAAATTTATCTTGCTAAACTTTTGTGGAGAAATATCAACCCAATGAACAGTGATTCTACATGAAGGGTATCTTTAGAACACAATGTTTATATTCAGATTAGTAGACAATGAGAAAAAAAGAAAGAACTGTTGTTTTTTTTTGTTTTTTTTTAAAAACATTGCTTACAAAATTTTGTACAAGTCTTCGATAGTCAAACATATTAGATATTTGTTTTAAAATATTAAAAACTTACTTACCAAGTAACAAAATCGAAGAATATCATTCTTCTTCTTCTTTTACATCTTTCGTCTTGCATTTATCGAGAAAACTCGAGAAAGTGACAACGAAAAAAGAAGAGAAGAGAGAACTACAGAGAGAGGAATTATCATAAACTGAATGCAATAAAATGAATATACATACTATTTGCATACATAACGGAGTGCGCGGACACGAGCTCCTGTTCGCTTCTCAACGATGAGAAGATGCAAGCATGTTACGTTCACGGCGCGAGAAAGAGAAAAAAAGAATTTTTGAGACATTGCCTAATGAGATCAAATTTGAATTTGAATATATATACATATTCTCTTCTTATTTCATTGCCTAGTGTACAAAAAAGAAACCGATTGTTCGTCTGTACTTATAGCAATTGTCCGAAACGATAGCAATACAATAATCATGAAAGAAAAAAAACCATTTCCATTTTGTTGTCTCTACGTTTTTTTTTTATTAGATAGATAATCATAATATAAAGAAATAGTTTTTTGAAAAAAAACTAGAATGAAAAAATACCTGTTTTAATACCCAAATAAAACACTTTATTATATCCGATGATTGTGATTGTTGTTAGTGACAAGTCATATAAGCATGTAGCTTTTCATTTCGTCTCATTTTTTTTTTTTTGCTTTCTAATTGATTATGCATACATCATCTCTTCTTCTGTCGTCGTCATCACATTATATGACCTCACACTGATTTTTTATTCATGTAAATTTTTTTTCTCATTCGCTTCATTTATGTACATCATTGATATATATATATATATATGCTGATCTGATCGTCATTATTATTGCAGACAAGAGATCGGCTATTATTGCATACGACTTATATTTGTTGAAGTGAGAGAGACTGAGTAATCCTTCTTTTGAATGTTAATTTCAAAAATACATTAATTCAACTTCGATCGTTGTTGTCAAGCAATACAACACTGTTTGTCATATAACGGAAAAAGTAAGATTATTTTAAAACTTCAGACTTGATTTTCCATATAAGAGTATACATTTAGTTTTTCCACTAATAATCTGTAAGAAGAATAAAATTGATTAGAAATAGCAATTGTATAGACTGTTAATATTCACTAGAGAAAAATCCTATGATATAAATATATGTGTTGCTTTGAAGACGGTAATCTGGTGCGATCAATTTTTGCTGTATTTGTTCAATAAAACATATTGGTTTCTAATTTTTATTACTTTGATTAATCTACAATATTATGAGTTTATAGAAGCAATTTTAGATTGTGATTACAATGCATTTTTATAATAAATACTGTAGCACAATCTTATCTTCAATCTTAATTTTCCATTAATAAAATTTAGCATTTCACAACAATGGTAAGCCATAGTTTATTTGAAACTTATTATTTTAAATGTTTGTATCATAAAATAAATAATATAGAAAATTCTTATAAATATTCTATTGAAATGATAGATTGTTTTATTAGAAAATTTATGTTTTGTTTGGCTTATCTATAGTCAATAAAGCTATATTCATCCATACTATCGAAATCAGTATGAATTATTTTCAAGTATTGAATAAATTAAAATAAATTGTCTTTCTTCTATTGAATATCTTCAGACATATAACATTTTAAGCTTGATTATTGAGTTAATACAGAATAGTCAAATTTCTATTCACATGGATTGATAATCTAAGTCTATTTTCTTCGGGGAAAAAATTTCTTTTGATCATCAAAATTTATTAATGTAAAATGAATAAAAAAATATTTATGTACAGAACTAATAGATGGTGTGTTTCTAGCAAATAATGCATTTATGTCAAAAACTAATTGATCCATAAAATAAAACTAATCAGTAGTAATCTCATTGGATCAAAATAATTACATTAACTTAGAACACACTTATAAAGAATGTCCTACTATAGCGACACACAAAACGAGAAAGTAACGATAAGAGTATTGTATTAATCTAACTCTTATATGTTGTACTGTCTGTGTAAGTTCGAACAGTATTATTACCATGATTTTTATTTAACATCTAAAGACAAACATTTTGTTGGGCCTGAGATTTTCTCGGCTTTTACTATTGATCATCAGTATTTATACACATTTTCTTTTTATTATTATGTACACTCAAAGGCATTTTGACCTTTTCCTAATATTTATTTTCATTAATTTCTTCACAAATTATACAAACAATATAAATCAATCGAAATCATCTTCATCTATTGTATAACGACATACACAAACAGCTAATAGTAATGCAGTTAACTAAAACAAAACAAAATTCTATTGTATTTATTAATATTAGAAAAACAAAAGCAGAAGAATTTATACCTCATATAGAGCAATACCAATGCCAACTATAACAATTAATCTTGAATAAAGATGTATATATTCATTAATTGCTTGATAACAACCAAATCGATATGCATCAATTTCAAGACAAACTCCATTTAATAAACGAGTACAACATGATAGTGGAAGATGATGATCAAAAACTTTATAATTAACATTATTATAAAAATCCGATGGACCATCGATACCACAACATGCAAACTAAATGAAGAAAAAAAATTTTTTAGTTCTATATTATGACATTCTAGAAAGATTTATAGTAAGATTCAAAAATAGTTCATCTGACAATCAGAAATTATCTGTAGATAGAGATCGTCGGATTTAGGTCGAAAAATTTCAGATTCAGCGAACTCTACTTGTCCGAGAGATATGTAGGATGCGTTAATCACTGAGCAAAGAAAAACCGTATAAAGTATCTCATAGCTTCGGGCTCTGTTCTGTGAACTTTCATTCTATATATTTAAATTTTTTGTTTGAAAGAGTCTTGATTCTAATTCTTCGTTTTTAAGCGGAGAAAACTTTAATCTCTCAAAAAAATTGCACTCTAATTATATAAGTACTCTTCTATATAATATTAACAATGATTAATTCAATTAAGGGACTCTGTCATGTTCTGTATCTTGACATACTCTTTTAAACAAACAAAAAAATTATAGAATGAAGGTCCAGAGAGAATTCTGAAATGTGCGATGAAAAAGGCATATCGTTTATGCAGTATCGAATCTCAAGTTATTTTTCCATCTATTAGTCTCGAATTTCGATTTTTCTGAAGAAAATTCATTCTTTTTTTTTAAATGGAAGGCTTAAAATTCTTAATGTCAATACATCATTATCAGCCAAATCTATTTATATAAATGTTAAGTATTAACTAAACGTTCATCGACTGTAGAATCCTGCTTCAGATAGAATTTGAATAAGAAAATAAGTCTTGAACTAATGTCCGCACCAGAATAAAAGAGCGGCGAGTGTAAGCTCAATAACTCGACAACCGCAATATCTAGTTGCCTGCGGTTTTCACCAATCGAAAGAGGAGGAGCGGGCACGTCTTTTTCTTCGATAATGTATAAGACGAAATTCTTTTAAAACTAATCATATTTGAAAAACATACAAAACAACTCATGAANATCAGCAAAATTTCCTATTATTTGCGCATGTAGGTACATGATTCCATTTGCTCAACGTTAGAATGTAGTAAGACATTCATTTGCATTGTATCTTGAACTATAGATCTCAAGTACGTCTATCTAAATCGAAGGTCAAAATCAAAATTTCATCTAGCTGACAGGTCATTTTCATGAGTTGTTTTGTATGTTTTTCAAATATGATTAGTTTTAAAAGAATTTCGTCTTATACATTATCGAAGAAAAAGACGTGCCCGCTCCTCCTCTTTCGATTGGTGAAAACCGCAGGTAGCTAAGTATTGCGGTTGTCGAGTTATTGAGCTTACACTAACCCCTCTTTTATTCTGGCGCGGACATTAGTTTCATCTTAACTTTTAGTTCATTAATATTGACTTTTACTAATGGCATATACTCTCAATCAATTAATATTTAAATACTTCTATATCTCATACAATCACTTAACTTCAAATAAAATCATAAATAATAAATGAATTTCTTCTGTTACTTTCATCTTCAACTACCTGTTTATGAATAATATCTAAATCATGTTCAAATTGTTGTGGAATTGAATAATTATATTTTAAAAGTCGTCTTTTCAATGTATTTGGTAATCGAGTATCCCATTCTTTACTTAATAGTACCGTATACATAGCCACAATCAACTCACCACCCATAACAAGTATAATAAAGAATACATACTAAGAAATAAAATAAAGTCAGAATCATACATATTATAAAGAACCGTGTCGAATAAAGTGACAATAAAGATAAAAAGAATGATCAGTTATTGTTCATTGTAGTTTTTGATATTAGTTGAAAATATTTCTTCTGTAAAGTTTTCGAGAGATGATTTAGCATCATTTTTCATTAATGGAGTCGCCGTGTCTTCAATAGAAGATGTAAAAAAGATGCTAAGTTCTTTTAGAAATTATCCACGATTTACTCATACATAAAACATTATTTGGAAGTTCTCCAAAATTACATTGCATGAAGAAATTCTAACCAATGATTGAAAAGGAGTACCGATCGAATTTTGGCGAGAAAATATTTCGTTAAAATATAAGATATTTGACACATTTTAAATATCACGTTTATTTTAATAAGAATTAACTCTCTTTTAGTGAAAATACATTAATAAAGAAGTAAAATTTGGTTAGGATTACTCAATGCAATGTAAAATTTTTGAAAACTCCAAAATTATGTGTTACATTGCAAACAATTTCTAAGAAAGCTTAACGTCTGATCACATATTTTATTGCCAACACGAAGATTAGCCATTAGGGAAAAATAGTGATAAATCATTTTCGACTGATACCAAGAACCACAATGATCAGTATCTGATCATGACTTTAATTTGATGTGTCTCAACTTGTATAGTTGATTTCTCCATTGGGAATAGGTCACTTTATTCAATAGAGTTCTTTACTTACTAAACCAAGTAAAAGTCGAGATTCTCTAACTGAACCACAACAACCAAGTAAACCAATAATAAAGACAAATATCCCAAGACCAATTAGAACATAACCAATAATATGAATAGATGGTACAAGATGAGAATCATAAGATAAAATTGCAAATAATTCATGTAAATCACGTTTATATAAAACAAGAATACCACAACTTAAAAAAGCACCACCAGATAACTAAACAAAAAAAAAAAAAAAAAAAACCATAATTTTTTTTCAATTCAATGAACATTTTTTTAATAAAAAAAACTAAATTTAATCATGCATTCATGATATATTAATACAGCATGCTTAATAATTCGATAACCGTGAAAACAATACAATTACTTCCATATACTTGATAATTTAATCTTATAGAAAATCATAAGGAAGAAATATTTCTTAATTGACGAATATAGCTAAAGTCATCACAGTAATAACAAAAAAAAAAACAATTATTTCCTTTGAAAATTCATCATGAAATTCTTTAACAAATTCATATCTTACCCAAATAATTAAATTAAAGAATAAGAGAAAATATTTCGCACAGACACAGCAGGCCATCATTGATAATCTGATTGTCACAGATGCGATTTTTTGATTTAGATGATAGAATGAAGAAAAAAACAAACTTCGATGACCAATTGTCACAAATGTCAAGTGTTAATAGCGGACGAAAATTGAGCGAAATAATGCTCGGCTCCTTCTTCTTCTTCTCTCTTTCACACAGCAATTAGAATGAGAACACGATTGCTATTGTGTTCGTTCACCTTGGTCGACAAAACGGAATGTCCAGGTAAAGAGAAAGGAAGAACAACGGCGAGCACAATGATGAATTTTATTTCTTCTCTTCTTTTTTTTTTTTGTTCTCTGTCAATTATTTTTCAATGTTAAGCCATTGTGCATACTGAATAAGTTTCTTCAGGTGCTGCTGTCTGTTACTAGTGCTGACGACGCCCTCAATTAATAAAAAAAAAAGAAGAAGAAGAAGAAAAGAATAGAGACGGAGAGAATGACATGGATTAAGCAAAAGAGAACAGTGACCGGTGTCTTTCTTTCTTCCGTAATGTATTCAAGTGAAAATGAACTGTATTCTAGAGAAGAAAGAATGATTTGTTTCCTCTGTATTTTTCAAGAAAGGAAACTGTATTAATGTACATTAGTATTATCATAAGAATGAATAGAAAAGGAAATGAAAAAAATGTGTCTACCAAGAAATAACAAGAGCCTTATGTCTTTGAACTTTTAAGTCTTATTCAGAATACATACTGTCAAAATTCTTGAACTACTCCTGCTGATACTTGTCATTCGAGCTTATATTGGGTGTACAAGAAGACTTCGGTAAGACTAGAAAAACTCTAAAAGGATTCGTTCCTATGATAAGAATATTCTTTTGTCATGATATTGAGTTCTTGTGACATGTCTATGGTAAACGACTAGTTTTTGAAAATTCATTATCTCAACAAAAGAATATTCTATTCGACTGAAAATTTCGAGATATTCTAAAAGTCATCAGATCTATCTATGGACATGATTTCAGCTCGAAGATTGAGTAAAACGGTCATAATTCGACGCCAAAGGCTCATCGGAATGGACCCTTTTAGATTTTTCTTAGTCATACCAAGACTTCATTGTAGGCTTACTCTGAATTCAAACGGTAGTTATCAATTGGAACTGTTCCCTCGTTATTAATACAATGTACTAGCAGTATCAATCAGCTTGAAACATCCTGCATAACCTCTAACATATTCCCTCTTAGCAGTGTTTTATCTAGGTTTTTAACTCCGAGGGGGCAAACTCAGCTGTCGAGAGGGCAGACAAAAAATTTCTTAACGGATGAACTATCAAGAGTATTTTCGAATCTATTATACTGACGCTTGCAAAAGACAACGATACGCAAAATATTAATTCAAATTTGATTGAAATTAAGGACGAAGGATAGTCATATTATATTATGGAAAATGAGTTTGTTCTATCTTGGTACAGTTAGGTGACCTGATTCTATTACGAGAAGTGTCGCCTCGCAGTAATAGATCCATAATTCGACTAATGATCATTGTACAGAACTGATTTTTAGTTTTTCTTTAATTGAATGAACACTTCTGCGTCGATCTGTATGTGTTCGATTACAAAATAATCAATCTTTGGTCATAAGAGGTGCGAGAATACGAGCAGGGTTGATTTTTTTT